TTTAATTGTTATACTAACTGCAGTAAGCTACGTTCCTATTTGATGGATTATATCACAAATAACTCCCTTAAAATTAAAATCATAGAAGTATTGAAAAAGAACTATATGATGAAAATAACAAAGATTATAATGGATGGAGGTTGTGGTTATGTTCATGGCAACTCAGTGTGCACTTATATGCGTTTGTCTACTCTTATTTTATTATTTTTAATTATTTGTTTTGAATTTTTGTTATATATCTATTTGCATTTATTTCGTTGTCAAAGAAATTGGTAGGTGCGAAACACAAAAGCTTTAACTATCATTTATAGTAATGAGTAATTGTATGATGCTATTTTATTTACTCAAATAGCTATGCTTAACTGGCTGGTAATACTATTTCGGTTACAAATATAGTAATGAGTAATTGTACGATGCTATTTTGGTTTAGTCAAATCAATCTGCTTAACTTGTAATACTAATGAGTAGTGCATATTATTCTTTCATAATGACTTAAAGAAGGAATCAAAGATTGATCGTACAAGAGAAAGACTTGGAAGTTTGAATAATATTCTTTCAGAATGGATTATTGTTTTTGTTAGATTTTGATATTTTTTTTTCTTTTTAGTTTTTAAACAAACTGCCATTAGTGAGGAACAAAAAGAAAAACATGCATACCGAGAGTGTATTCAAACCGGCAAATTCTTTCAGAATGTGAAAACACAATATTATTTTAGATTGGAAATTTTTATGTTACTTTAATGGTTTTACTAAAATGATATTTCATTTTAATTTAATCGGTTCACATTTAATGTTATTTGTTATGTCGTTTAATAAAGTATTTACCTTGATTGTTCGTTAAGAATCACATTTTTCGATACTTATGATGCCATTGTCAATTAATCTCATAATATTTATGATTTTTTATTCTTTAAGAATAATTATATAACTAAATACAAATATTCATTCCATAAAAACTATGCATTCATTCTTTTCATTACTTATACTAGGTTATACAATAAATAATTTATATACAAGTATTCAGTATAACATATTTCATACACATATTTCATTTCAGCAAGACTACATATTTCATAAACATATTCATTCCAACATAATTTTCTATTGTTTTTTTTTTCTGAATACTGCATTTATATACACATATTTCATTTCAAAAAGACTATATTTTACAGAAAAATACATTTGTCAGCAACATCCCATTAAGAGATAATAACAAACTATAACATATTCTAATAGAATAATAACAACTAACGTATTCTAACAGAATGTTAAATCTATCAAAAACATTCCAGTAACACAACAATATCTGACCATATAATTAAAAAATACATCAACATATCCATTATTCAATATAACCAGGAATTATACATAAAAAAGCTTAATAGTTTAATACTAATTTTTTTCAGAAACATCTCATCAAGACTTAGTATTAAACTATAACTCATTCTAACAGAATTGCCTTTTAACAATAAACCACATCATCATTCGAGAAAATAAACAATGCATCAACACAGCCATTAGATCAAAACAAATATTTTGTTAGAAGATATAAGATGAATTCTTGCAACCACCGATTCAAAACGTCTAAAAGACAAAGTATTTTTTCAAAACACTAACATAAACCAAATTTATGTTTAAATAACCTAAAACAAAAAGTTCATATACTTTCATGTCAATATGTATCTTCAAAAAACCAAACTACCACTTCAAATGCTTACCGACGACCCTTTGCTTTTCTATTTTTCTTCCTATTTTCACATGACTCTTGAAGAAGCATAGTTTGTTCCAAAATATCAAGCTTACGAAACACTTCAAAATTTTTAACTATCATACTCTTATACTTGTTGAAGTCGGTTGTCAACATTCTTGCCATGTATTTTGTTCTTAATTTACCTATAGCACTCACATCAGCAGACATTTTACCTGTAAGACCACACTCTTAACACCCTTCATTTCCTCCCATGTAACTTTCCATATGTCTCATAAGGTAGATTCCACAATCTGTTTCAGGATTTTCTACTTGCCAAGATATGTTCATTACACGACCCGCCTTAAAACTTAATGCTTTTGCCATTGGATGATGTTGTGATGTTAAGTAGTTGCAAAACAGTTTTTTCTGTCATTGAATACAACAAATACATCAAACATAGTATACACATAGTTGCAATTCTATCAGAACAAAAAAGATACTAACATAAAATAAGCATGCATATACAAAGTTTAATTCTACCAGAATATCATAAATGTCACTTTGATACCTAATCCACTAACCATGGAAATACTCACATTCATATACATATTTGCATTCTACAGCGTATCCTACATATAAAGTCTATGATTCTACAAGAATTGTAAATGTTTCACTTTTATTCATTATTCGAACAGAATAAAAATATACTACCATAAAATAAACATACTATACACATAGTTGCAATTCTAATAGAATAAAAAGATACTAACATAAAATGAGCATGCATATACAACATTTAATTCTACCAGAATATCATACAGGTCACTTTGATACATAATCCACTAACCATGGAAATACTCACACTCATATACATAGTTGCATTCTACCAACATATCCTACATATAAAGTCTATCATTCTACAAGAATTCTAAATGTTTCACTTTAATTCATTAATCATATACAAATTTTGATTCCAACAGAATTTATTCTAACAGAATATCAAACATTCTTGCAAAACAAGCTCCATAACTAGTTGATTCTATCAGATTATTAGGTTTTGATTTTATTATTTATTTATTTTTTTGTAAATATCACAGCGGAATCTCATAACTAGATAATTTTCTTAAGGAATTAAACCAAAATCACAACTTCTAGTTGCAAAACACAAATCATACATGCATAAATCAGTCTAACTACATTTATTACAGTAGAATACATATTTAAACTCAATAAACATCCACTTCAATAAAAAATCGATACCTTCAGGTTTCGAACAGACATCATAATCGTCATCATCAAGATTCAACATTGTCTCTACTGTGTTCATGAACTTGGACTTGAATGAAGTCGATCTTGTACTCCACATTCTTCAAGAATACAGTTCACAGAAAACCCCCAATGTCTTCTCCATCTTCTAGGGTTTAATGTCGATATTTATATTAAATACGTTCACAGAATCTTCCGATTTTGAAGATTGATTAAACAAAATCAGAATATGTTTTGATCTCCGATAGAAATGGGTTATTGATTTTGATTGTTTGTGAGATATTTGGGATAATCGGGTATATCTGTTAAAAAATAAACGAAGGTTTCCTATTAAAATGAAGGTAATGTATGATACTACCCTTCCATGCGCGGTCATTTAATGAAATCCTATTACTTTGTTTTTTTCTATTTAATTTTAAAGGAAAATCACTTTATTAATTTAACACAAATGATTGGTCTAGAATCATTTACACATGCACACAATACTTAGCAAAAACAAAATAACCTAACCCTATATATATATATATATATATATATATATATATATATATATATATATATATATATATATGGGGACGGTTCACTTAAGATTCTAAAAAAATAGAAATATTAAGATTTAACATCAGTCACATGTTTTACATTTGTCGTTGTAACGCTCCAGTGTACTAACAGCAGATGTCTATAACTAATCATAAATGATTATATATATATATATATATATATATATATATATATATATATATATATATATATATTATGAGGAGTTTATGTTTTGGAATACTTTTTTTTTTCAATCAAAATATGTTAAAGCCATGTAACCAGTCGTCTTCGGTGTAAATAAAGATATAACCATGAGAGTGATATTTGATGTTTTTAGTAGTTGATAGCTTCGTAGTTTTTGGTTTCTTGTAATTTTAATATTTTTTTTGTATTAATTTCATGGTAACCAAGTTTTGGCTTTGTACACAATATTTGATGTTGTAGTAGTACTCAACTTTTTCTTTTCATCCTTAGGAAATTTCAAAAAGAGTAAAGAAAGATTATAAAATATTAAGACCATTCTGTATACCGGCCAATAGCCGCTTCGTGGTTGACATGGCCACGGTCGTGGTCCGTGCACACCACCCCGACCAGTCATGGTCGGCCATTATCGTTGCAATTTGTGGTGGCGAAGACGAGCCAAGACGACCAATGGGGTTTGATTGCTTATTTTGACATTCTTTCATTTGTTGCGAGCTGCATCCTTATGTTGGGGAAGAAGACAGTTTTTCAAGTATTGTCCAACGTCTTTGAGGTTGAGAGTTCAGACATGTCTATTTAGGGGTAGTTTACGATTAGATTAGATTTTCAGTTCCAAAAATAATATTGGATAAAGGGGAATGAATGAAGTGAAAGAATTTTAGCGAATCACTAAGGAACTTGAGGATCCAAAATGTGCAAACAATCAAAAGCATCCCTCAATTTCGAAGAAATCGCACTTCTCTTCTGCGGATTTTTGGGTTTGATTTGATTTTCTTTATCAAAGTTTAAATTAATTAAATCAATCACTATAGTGCCTTATGGCCTTCCAAAAAGTATCCAACATTTAAACACATAATTCAATAGTTTAGTACGCACATAATCATACACAGTTACACATACACACATACATATATGTGCTACATAGATAGATGGAAATAAAACTCTTTAATTAACATCCAAACAAAGTATTTCATTTTCTCTATCTATATAAGACTAAGGCCAGAAACAAATTTATCAGTTAACCGTAACTATTTAAACATATCCGACTATTATATTTATCATATAATATAAGAAACGGCAATACAAAAGTGTGTAACCTATAAAAACAAGTCAAATTGTCAAATTGGATTGTACCACACTAGCAATTCAAACAAAATCACATTTTTACGGTTAAATATAATTCCACAAAATGATATTCGTTGCATTAATAAACCATTAACCCATAACTACTTGACATGATTTAATATTTATAATACCAATACTGTGGCTCAGGCGGATACATGGCGGCAATGGATTTTAGGCGCTACTCCTCAGCCATACATCCAAGATATAGTCCCAAAACGGTGGCGGCAAGTGTATATGGCGCGGTGGCTTTTGGCATCAGAATAGCATTAACGGTGATGGATATATATGGAATGGCTACAAGAACAGGTGTAAGCCAAGCAGGTACGCGATTGTTGTGTTCTCGACACATACCTAATGGGAAATTAATAACCCTGGTTATTGCCCCCATCATGAGTAACTTTTGGAGCTTGGTCTGACTTATCAGATCTTGTGCAATGACTCTCATAACTGCTGCCATAAACTCGGATGCCATGGACATTGCCACCCTCATTAGTATCTCTCGGAGCATTGGTTGATTTTTCAGGCTAGCTGCAATGGCAGTTGTTGCAATGGTTGTCATAACTTTTGGCATGCAATTATATTCTCTGTTGGATGCTTTTGCTACAATTGGTTGGACGTTTCTATATGACCTTGTCATCCGACAATTCCCATGCTTAATCCGGTAGTCTCCACTCTGTCACATCATTTATAAAATTGCTCGTTACGTGCTGTTTATTTTTTATTATTATTTTTTTTATCAAAACTTGTATCATGAAATTAAGAGGAAAATAAACATGTGGAAGCTACCATACCTGATAAGAGTCTTGTTTGTGTAGCTTCTTATAGAATGCATCGAAACCAAAGTTTGATGCTCCAAAATTCAAGACACTAATAGTAGCTGCCTTTGCTGCCAAAGGATAATAAAAGTCTTTGGGTTCCCAAGGCTGATGAACGTACAACAATATCACATTAGTTCATTCCCATCTAAGTCCTAACTTTTTACAATTTCACCTCATGTATTTTCCTTCGAATTTGGCATATAACAAATAAATAGGGTCTAACTACTATAGTGTTTTCAGTATATTCAGGTTTACATGATATTCTGTTGTGAAATACGAAGGATCCGAATAGACTTAAATAATATTAGCTCAATGCGAATGAGATCAAAAATTATCAAAGCGTAATAATCACAACGAAATACGAATAAAATAAATAGAATAGAGACACAAGAATTTACGTGGAAACCCAAATCGGAAAAAAAAACCACGGGCGGAGGAAGCCGAGAAACAATTCACTATAATTTGCAGTGTTTACAGGGATTATGAAAGAGATTACAAATAGAGTGAGAGGGCTAAAATATATGGTGGTGTATCAGTATATATATATATATATATATATATATATATATATATATATATATATATATATATATATATAAAGTTTTACTATATATATATATTTGATTGTTGGGTTAATTTTGTGGGTTAAGTCTCTCTGGCTATTTATAGCCAAAGAGGAGAATATAAATCTAATGTGAAAACAAAAATGCCGTCCAAAAAACTGCTGCGCCTCCATTCCGTCCAATTTCATTTTCAATTTCATATTAGATTACTATTCATAGTCAAACTATGAATAGTAAATGATAAGTTACGGAAATAACCCCTGAACTATTTGCCACTTGCTAATTTTGGAGGCAACTTTTCCACAATCTCCACCTTGACATCAAAATTAAGCAAGTCATGCTTTACGATTAGTCAAAACCTTTAGCTCATCAAACTCTAAAACTTCCATAAAAAACTGCAATTTTGTATAGAGAAAAATTGTTTCCGGAAAAATAAATAATAGTTCCTCCACCACGAGCCTTCAGGCTCAACTGCGATCAGAAACACCCACCATGTCCAAACATAATTTGAACTTGGCTATAGGAAGACTTTTAGTGAACATATCAGCGGGATTATAATCTGTATGAATCTTGTCCACAACACAATCACCTTTTTCAATGATATCCCGCACAAAATGATAACGAATATTAATATGCTTTGTTCGGTCATGAAACATTTGATCTTTACTCAAGAAGATAGCACTTTGGTTGTCACAGAAAACTGTGGTCACCTTTATTCTATCATCGAGTTCTCCGAATAACCCCTTCAACCAGATATCTTCCTTAACTGCTTCTGTAATCGCCATGTACTCTGTCTCGGTAGAAGACAGGGCAACTGTAGACTGTAACTGGGCTTTCCAACTAACAGCACAACCATTTAGTGTAAACACATACCCTGTAATTGATCTTCGTTTATCCAAATCTTTTCCATAATCTGAATCAACATATCCGAACACCCCAGTGTTAGATTTGCCAAAACGTAAACACATGGAAGACGTACCTCGTAAATAACGAAAAATCCACTGTACTGCTTTCCAGTGTTCTTTCCCCGGGTTCGCCATGTATCTACTAACCATGCTAACAGCATAAGCCAAATCAGGGCGTGTGCAGATCATAGCATACATTAAAGATCCAACAGCACTAGAGTATGGAACACGTGCCATGTAAGCCATATCAGTCTCATTAGTAGGACTAAAAGCGGATGATAGCTTGAAATGAGCTGCAAAAGGTGTGTTGACAGACTTTGCTTCGTGCATATTGAAGTGTCTTAGGACTTTCTCAATATAACTTTTCTGAGAAAGATGCAAGATCCTAGACTTCCTGTCACGAATAATTTCCATACCTAAAATCTTTTTGGCAGCTCCTAAGTCCTTCATTTCAAATTCAGCTTTCAACTGGTCTTTTAACTTCTGAATCTCCTTCATATCTTTTGCTGCAATCAACATGTCATCCACGTACAAGAGTAAGTAGATCTTTGAACCATTGTCACCTTTCTTGAAATAAACGCAGCTATCATAGGTGCACCTGCTGAATTTGTGACTGGTCATGAAAGAATCGAACCTCTTGTACCATTGTCTAGGAGACTGCTTGAGGCCATAAAGAGATTTGTTCAACTTGCATACGTAGTTCTCCTTTCCAGGAACTACAAAACCTTCAGGTTGTTGCATAAAAATCTCTTCCTCAAGCTCACCATTTAGGAAAGCTGTAGTGACATCAAGTTGTTCTAACTCAAAATCGTTAGAAGCAACCAACCCCAACAATACACGAATGGAAGTATGTTTGACAACTGGGGAATAAATGTCAGTGTAATCAATACCAGGAATCTGACTGTAGCCTTTAGCTACTAACCGAGCTTTGTATCTTGGTTTATCATTTGGGTTGACAGGTTCCTTGAGCTTATAGACCCACTTGCATTTAACTGGTCTCTTCCTTTTCGGAATAGGAACTAAATTCCAAGTACTGTTTCGCTGCAAGGATTCCATCTCATTTTGCATAGCGAGCATCCAATCATTTGAGTCTTCAGATTTGATAGCCTCGTCATAATTCGCAGGCTCCGTTGCGTACTCAATATTATCAGCAACAATAAAAGCATAGGCAACCAAATCAGATTCAGCATACCTCTTCGGAGGAATAATCTGTCTTCTCGGTCTATCTCTTGCAATGCTTTGAGTAGTAGCTTGTGGTTGTGAAGGTGTTGAATCTTCACCAACAACATGCTCATCCGACGAAGAAGAATCTTGATGCTGATTTGTACTCTGATTAGTGGTAGGTGAAGTAGGAAGCTCCACCTCCATTTGAGCATACTCTTTATTTGCTTCGGATGATACATCTGATGCATCTGTTCTTTTAGAAGAGTCAGCAACTGGTTGAATCATAGCAGACTCATCAAAAGTAACATCTCTTGAGATGATAATTTTCTTCAAATCAAAGCTCCATAACTTGTAACCCTTTACACCTTGATTGTACCCAAGAAAAACGCATTTGATTGCTCTTGGTTCTAGCTTCCCATTGTCAACTCGTGCATACGCTGGACATCCGAATGGTTTTAAATCTGAATAATTAGCAGGTTTACCGGACCATAACTCAAACGGAGTTTTCTTCTCGATTGCTCTTGACGGTGATCGGTTGATAACATAGCAAGCAGTCGAAGCAGCCTCCGCCCAAAAAGACTTTGGCAATTTGGAATTAGAAAGCATACACCGGACCTTCTCCATAATGGTGCGATTCATCCTTTCAGCTACACCATTTTGTTGAGGTGAATGGACTACTGTGCGATGTCGAGTAATGCCTTCCTTTTGACAATAGACATTAAACTCTTCTGAGCAAAACTCAAGTCCATTATCCGTACGAAGATACTTTACCACCAGACCTGATTGCTTTTCAACCTGAACTTTCCAATTTCTGAAGGTATAGAAAACGTCTCCTTTATGTTTTAAGAAGAAAGACCACACCTTCCTGGAGAAATCATCAATAATAGTGAGCATATAAATAGCTCCACCTTTTGAAGCAACTCGAGCCGGTCCCCACAAATCCGAGTGAACATAATCAAGTGGTCCTTTCGTTGTATGGATGCCACTTGCAAACCTCACTCGTTTTGCCTTACCATATACACAGTCTTCACAGAAATCCAAATCAACAATCTTTTGTTGACCAAGTAAACCTCTTCGACTCAATTCTGACATGCCTTGAAAACTCATATGGCCGAGTCGAAGGTGCCAAAGACGGGACTGATCTGGATCAGAAAGAGACTTTGAAACAACAGCAGCATCACTCGAAATTGTTTGACCGTCAAGAAAGTAAAGATCTGAGGTTTTTCGTTTGGCTCTCAGTTTGTCGGAGCCGTCTTTGAATACCCTGAGAACTCCACCTTTACCAGCAAACTCGTATCCCCTTTTGTCAAAGGAACTGAGAGATAACAAGTTTCTTCTGAGGTCAGGAACATATTTAACATCCCCCATGGTTCGAATAACTCCGTCAAACATACGGATCCTGACTGAACCATGTCCAAGAACTGGACATGTAGTATTGTTACCCATCAACACATAGCCCTGGTTAACCTTTTCAAATGTGTAAAACCAACTTTTGTTGTGACACATATGAAAAGTACAACCAGAGTCGAGTATCCAATCACCAGTGGAATCCAGTTTATCTGAATAAACTGTCAAAAGTTCTCCAATACCTTCCACCTCAGCTACATCGGCTTCACCCGAAGTGCTAACTTGTTTACCATTTGCTGCCGTCTTCTCTTTTTCTTTATTCTTCAACTTGAAGCATTCTTCAAGCACATGTCCCTTCTTGTGACAATAGTTGCAAAACTTTCGTTTGCCTTTTGATTTGGATCTGGTTCTGTTGGAAGATTGAGAAGTTCTACTTCTCTCTGTTGTTCTTCCTTTGGCATTCAAACCTTCGGCTTTAGCATCACTTGAACCACCACCAGTAATATGCTTCATCTTCTCTTTGGAATCCAAAGCTGTATAGACTTCATCTAAAACTAAAGTGTCACGGCTATAGATAATAGTATCACGAAAATGGCTATAGGATTCTGGCAACGACGACAGTAAGAATAAAGCCAAGTCTTCATCTTCATACTGAACATCCATATTCTCTAAGTTATTTACTAACTCTTTAAATGTGGATATATGTTCAGTTAAAGAGCCTCCTTCAATCATCTTGAGATTGAACAACCGTTGCTTCAAATGCAACTTGTTTGGTAAGCTCTTGGTCATCAACAGTTGCTCCAACTTTAGCCATAAAGAAGCCGCTGACGTTTCTTTTAGAACATCTTGCAAAACATCGTTTGACAAGTGCAAACGAATCTGGGATAAAGCCTTCAGATCTTTCATCTCCTTTTCTTCTTCGGTCCATGTATCAGGCATCTTATTGAAACCCAATAGCGCTTTGTGTAAATCCATCTGAATGAGAATGTCTCTCATCTTTACTTGCCACAACGGAAATCGTGTGTTACGATCCAGTAGTGGAATATCGTATTTTACCGAAGACATGATTAATTACTTGATAAAATGATCCCAATGAGCTAATATTACAACCCGGATGCTCTGATACCAATTGTTGTGAAATACGAAGGATCCGAATAGACTTAAATAATATTAGCTCAATGCGGAATGGGATCAAAAATTATCAAAGCGTAATAATCACAACGAAATACGAATAAAATAAATAGAATAGAGACACAGGAATTTACGTGGAAACCCAAATCGAAAAAAAAAACCACGGGCGGAGGAAGCCGAGAAACAATTCACTATAATTTGCAGTGTTTACAGGGATTATGAAAGAGATTACAAATAGAGTGAGAGGGCTAAAATATATGGTGGTGTATCAGTATATATATATATATATATATATATATATATATATATATATATATATATATATATAAAGTTTTACTATATATATATATATATATATATATTTGATTGTTGGGTTAATTTTGTGGGTTAAGTCTTTTTGGCTATTTATAGCCAAAGAGGAGAATATAAATCTAATGTGAAAACAAAAATGCCGTCCAAAAAACTGCTGCGCCTCCGTTCCGTCCAATTTCATTTTCAATTTCATATTAGATTACTATTCATAGTCAAACTATGAATAGTAAATGATAAGTTACGGAAATAACCCCTGAACTATTTGCCACTTGCTAATTTTGGAGGCAACTTTTCCACATATTCAGATATGTAATTTTTTACAAGTTATGAGTTCAACATTTATAAATATATTCAACATGTTATCAAATTTTGAAGTACTTGTTTTACAGTTGGACGCGATATTTTATATTTTATCAAACTGTGAACTAATCGGCATACAACATACCTAAACAAAATGCCATAGAATGGAGCTCGAAAGGGAACGTGAAAACATAAATGATTCTAAGGAGTTTTTACTATTTAATTATTTGTTTGGGTTTTAATAATTAGTCATATTCTTTTATATTGTAGATGTTGGAATTCCAAAGTCATGTAGGACACAAGGAAGACCAATTGAGTAGGACTCACGAGGGTTTGATCATATACAAGGAAATTTGTTTCCTAGTCTTATTCTACAAGTTTGGTAGTCTAGACTTATATATGTATAGATAACGAGTTATGTTTCTATGCTGTAAAAAAAAATTGAGTTTTGAGTTAAGTTTCACAATAAATTGGATAGTTATTCCATCTCTATTGTGTTTTATTTTTTTTGAATTAGTGATTTGAGTAGTCTTAGACAACAAGGTTTTTAAGGTATTGTTAGTCAAAACTTCCGCTAATTAAGGAATTAATAGCATTCACATGCTCGGATTTTCAAGGTGTGACAAAGTATCATTCATTAAAACTGTAAACGTTTTGATTTTTTTTTTCAAAACGATATTGGAGAGAATTAAGAAACATGAATGTGGAAGAATGAAAGGTATAGAGACCATACCTGAGAGGAGACTTTATGGGATGACTGTTGTGGAGTTTTGTGAAAAATGGGAGCTAACCTCTCATAAAATGAATTGAAATCAATAGACCCTTGTTCAACCTTCACCTTTTGGAAAAGTTGCAATTGTCTCATATAAAGTGTATCGAGATTACTAAGATCCATTTTAAAGGAATTCTCGTCATATATAGAACATACGTTTCCCCATTCCTGATGAAAAACAACGTATAAAGTTAGTTCATTTGCATAGATTTGGAGTACTTAATGAAAAAAAGAACATTTGTGTCATCAATGTAATATTAAATAATATAAATATTGTAAAAAATAGGAAAAAAACAAGGCGTAAATAATGGTTTATGAATTAAAATAAAGGATGATGATCCATACACAACATTTTTTAGCCATACATAACAAATTATGTTTTATTCAGTTGTACAATCAGTATAAATGGAAACATCCTTCCTCCCATTCAGCCACAATCATAAAGGATCTCAACTCATTACTAAAGTGTCGAACAAAGTTGTCGATAGGAACATAACAATATATAGTTTCTACTTTCAATGTAGTAATAGTTTATTTAGCTTTTTAAATAATATGAAGTTTTCTTTAAGACTGTTGCTTTCTATTTCCTTTGGGGTAATTGCTCGTATTATATTTTGAAATTGGGAAACGGGTACGATTTAGTTTGATTTACATTTTGTATTTTCAACTTTTTTTGTGAACATGCCACTAACTATGACTTTCTAACCATGAAATTATTTAATTAGGTTAAATCATTTAGACTTGAACAATTTAGATGCTATCGTCTGGATATCGACAACTTTGGTGTCAAGACACTTAATTCTATCATTCATTCAAATCTCCCACGATTTGGTTTGTTTTTATACTTTATCACGATATTGAGAGAAAAAAAACATGTGAAAAAAATGAGAGTTGCTACAATACCTGGGAAAAGTCTTTATGTATCTTCTCGAACTTCCCATTGTATGCATCAAAATTCAAGACACTAATAGTCAACGGTGCTAGTGCTTTTGTAGATATAGACCGGAGTGTTTCCTTCACTTTTTTTGGAAATTGCAATAATCCTCCATCCCTAAAACCCATTTCAATCTGAGCTTCCCGGAAGACACAACCTTTTGTTCCCATCAAACCCTACTAGTGGAAAACAAAAGAAATAACAAAAATAATTTATCAGTTATCAGTTAACAAAAATAATTTACAGAAGTAACAAAAGAATTAGTGTATCTTCCATATCTTACAATCACATAAAGGGAAATATAAAAAAAAAAAAAAAAAAAAAAAACTCAATTACTACTCCGGGAAGAGCAAAACTTTAAATTCTGAATTTTAGCATCAAACCCCATTTAATCATCCAGGTCATCCAATCCCCCATTCAAAACCAATTTGTATCTCGAACTCAACAACAGTATGTTATCAATCCTATAGGTTTCAATAGCAATAGCTACAATCTACCTATATGCTTAGACAAATTAATATATATGTTCATTACCTTGAAGTCTTAAACTATTTAAGCAATTTTAGCCACCATAAATAAGCAAAAGAAAACGAAACATGATAATAGCTACATTGCGTGATCTTTTAATATTAATGTCGTGTTTCAATGCAAGTTCAGACAATTTGATCACTCCTAAATTATCAACAACGTTCTCATCCAGAGAGAGAAAGTCAAACACACAAAATCAAGAATCAAAACAATTTAAGAAAACATTACGAAGAATCAAACATAAATTTAAACTTGTAGCACAGTTAAGAACATTAACAACTAACAAGAGTAAACTCATATTTGTGCTAGTTGCATTCAGACAAAACAAGAGTAAATTTAAATCTGATCAAATAAAGAGTGAAAGGGACAATTTGATCAAATAAAGTATGCAATACAGAAATCAGAAACATGATTAGTTTGATCAAATAATCTTTAACAAATAAAAAGAACTTAGAAATTAGAAAGAGTGAAAGACACATCAAAGAGAGAAATAGACAATGAAATAAATAAAGAAAAAACCTAAGAGCCTGAGTCAGAGATGGAGGAGTGAGCGGTGAGGGATCGCCAGGTGGAGTCGTGGAGGTCGGACGAGGTCGTGAGCGGTTAAAGACAAGGTCGTAAAGGTGAGGCACGTATCTTCACTTTTAGCCAAGGGAACGTTCAACCCTAATAACTCCATTTATGCCGACTTAAATATAGTAAAAGTATTCAAGTATAAAGAGATTTTTAATATATGTCCTTAGAATATCTCCCTTTTTAATAAAAGAAACCATATTCACGAGTCCATCTTCTCAAAGCAGGTTTCGTTCAATATAAAATTACACTTGTGCTCTTTGGTATGAATGAATAACCTGCGCTTTTAAATGATACGATATGAATCAATATAAATCTTTATGTTTACCGAAATTATTTGAAAACGTTATTCCATCCAAAATTAACCGACTACCTCTAGGATTTAAGGAATTATTTTTGTATAAACGAATATTTATGCACAAATAGTTCCTTAAATTTTGGAGGTAGTCAAATTATCCTCATATTCAATTTTTTACAGAAAATGATATATTCCGTTGACTTCTTCATCGCTGAGAAAGAATATCAGTCTGCTTCAAAGTAAATTCCTGTCCAATATCAGGTTAGTATTTTATACAATCAAAATCTCCATATCATTCATATAATCTGTGTGATTTCGATATATATTCTGTATCTCTAATCTCTAATTTTGTATCTCTATTTTCTAATGTTTTCTCTGCATCATCTGTAATCTATATGTGATAATCTAAATACCACTTAATTGCAATAGGTCGGGACTTTTTCAAACTACATTTATAAACCTTGCTTGATGATCCTCACTTTGACATATTTGGTTTGGTGATCGAAAGTTTATAGTTTTTAAATCCATTTATAGCAATGTTGTATACAACATAACCTTTGTATAGATATGAGTTATAACTTCATGTTTTTCATTGTCAATATTATTGTTGTAACTTATTAATGTACTTACTTTTTTTTTCTTTTTAATTTAATTCATATATATGTTACTGAAAATATAATTTTGTATTTCGTTAATATACACGAGTGACTATTTCATCGTATATGTGTGAATCGCCATGTCCATGTTGGGTTCTGTGACATATTAGTTCTCACTTCGACATATTTGGTCTGGTGATCGAAAGTTTATAGTATGTGTGTAATATCACAGGTTTCAGAGGACCTAAAATGAAAAATTATCTTGCAATTAATAAAAAGTATTTATTTGTTTATTAGTTTTTATCGATTATCGCTGGAAATTTTAAAAACCTTGTATGCCTTTGTTGGGTTCTGTGACATATTAGTCCTCACTTTGACATATTTGGTCTGGTGATCGAAAGTTTATAGTTTTTAAATCCATTTATGGCAATGTTGTATACAACATAACCATTGTATAGATATGAGTTATAACTTTATGTCTTTCATTGTCAATATTATTGTTGTAACTTATTAATGTACTTACCTTTTTTTTTCTTTTTAATTTCATTCATATGTTACTGAAAATATAATTTTGTATTTCGTTAATATACACCAGTGACTATTTCAATTTTGTTTCATAAAGAATTGTTAGTAAGGTTAATAATATTTTATTATGCACTTACCAACATAACATTCCCTATTATATACAAATAAGTGTTTGCAAATTTATGGTTAAAGATTATATTTGTCTCATATTGGAAATCATACCTTTAACTTTGTTATCTTTAATTTGTCATATAACAATGCTATTTCCATGATTTATTGTTTTTTTCACTCTATTCAAAATCTCCATTGTTGTTCTTATATTATTATTACTCCAGCGATATAATGATAATTTTGTGTGTTTATATTTTGTGTGTGTAATTTTCTGCCATTGTTGTTCTTATTATTGTATGTGTCTTTGTGTTATACTCCCCAGATGTTTTAAATGGTCTTAAAGTATAAGGTTTGCCAAATCACAAGTTAATTTTAAAGGTCGGTGTTCTAGTTATGTTACTGAGAAACATTAATCAGAAAAATGGCTTATGTAACGGCACTAGACTACAAGTCAAATCTCTGGGAAAACGTGTTATTGATGCAGTTATCATATCTGGAAGTAATATTGGAAACCGAACCTTTATTCCAAGAATGTCTTTAACTCCTTCTGAAAAAAAATTCCCTTCGAATTTCAAAGAAAACAGTTTCCATTGGCTGTATGTTTTGCAATCACAATTAATAAAAGTCAGGGGCAGTCGTTATCAAAGGTTGGTCTGTATCTCAAACATCCTGTTTTTTCACATGGACAGTTGTATGTTGCCTTATCTAGAGTTCAAAGTAGAAAATGATTGAAATTGTTAATTTTAGATAAGGATGATAGACTTACAAACAAAACTTTCAATGTTGTTTATAAGGAAGTTTTTAGAAATTTATAAATGATTCGTAGTTTTTAAAGTCAAACTATTGTGTTTTATTTATTATATTTGTGTTATATTTTATTTTTTATATTTATATATCAATGTCATTTATATTATTCAATGTGTTTCTTTTTTAACTCTATTCAAATTTCTATTCTGTTTTATAAATCATTTACAACATACTCAATTTTATATTATGTTTATATATATATATATATATATATATATATATATATATATATATATATATATATATATATATATTAATTTTAAATAATCAATACAAAAAGTTTTAAAAAAACTTAACTCTTAATAATAATTATAAATGTTTTATAAATTTTTTACCCGTGGTTTCCACGGGTTGTAATCTAGTACTACGTATATAAGTAAGAGGCATTAGTTATGGTAAATATTTTTATTAGGAGTAGCATTCCATACTAATTAACATACTATATTATTGTTTTTTATATTTACCTTTGTATTATTCTCTTCCTAAATTTTGTCTCCGGTCACATATAAACCAGCATATTTCAGATTCTTAATTCCCTCCAAAATTATTCTTTCATTATTATTAATACTAGGTTATAGCCCGTGGAAACCACGGTTTGGCAAAATAATTGAATTTTTATAGTAAAAACTTATAATTATTAATGAATTATTTAAAATAGATTATTAATTAAGAGATTTATGTTTTTATTTATGTAAAATTATTTTTCAATATATATTAGTTATTTTATTATTTTTTAATTAATAAAAAAATGATATTGTATAATGAAATGTTAAATTATTTATAAAAATAAAAGAAGCACGACAATTGAAGTAAATTATAATTGATAATGGAAAAGAATATTGTATGTATAATAACAAAAGAGTTATGCATACCATTTGATATATTGGATAGTGGAGTCCTACAATTGATATTTGCAGGAGATTGCATGAGATTACAAAATGCAGAGTATTGTCTGTTATTTGATAACGGTGTTCGACCATTATGCTGATTGCTAAAAAAAGCTGAAAAAAAAATTATAACTTATGATTCATATAATTATTGTAATGGAAAAGAATATTGTATGTTTAATTACAAAAGAGTTATGCATACCATTTGATATATTGGATAGTGGAGTTCTACAATCGATATTTTCCGGAGATTGCATAGGATTACAAAATGCAGAGTATTGTCTGTTATTTGATAACGGTGTTCAACCATTATGCTGATTGCTAAAAAAAGCTGAAAAACAAAATTATAACTTATGATTCATATAATTATTGTGAGGGAAAAGAATATTGTATGTATAATAACAAAAGAGTTATGTATACCATTAGATATATTGGATAGTGGAGTCCTACAATTTATATTTGCAGGAGATTGAAAGTTTGGAGAATTATATCGATGAAAGTTTTCAGAGTTGTTGTGTTCCTTGTGAAAAGAAATAGACGTGACTTTATTTGAAGAGTTTATATGTTGACGATGATTGAAGATATTGGCTACAAATAAGTATAAATGTAGTTGATATAAAAAAAATATATAACAATAAAGAAATTTAAAACTTGGTTGAAATATTTAATAAAAAGTATATGAAATAATTACCGTTCTCAGAAGTGTAAAAAAATTGTGCAGTAGATGAACTTTGACCCTTGGATATGATAGTTTTATTTTTCGCTTTTCGGTTATTCAAATATAATTTCCTTTTTTTTATTCGCTCTTTAGCAAAAATAGAATCCATGCTATTTTATGAATATGT